CTTTCTACGACGTGGAGCATAAGAAGGAGCCTGTGTTGCTGACAAGCATGTGTGAACCTCAAGAGCAGAATCAAAAGACATTGGTCTCTACTTTCAAGCGCAGATTCTGAACGACCTGCATCTCCTTCCCCATGRTCCTTCCAAGGACATTTGAAAGAAGATTTGAAAATTGGATTGCAAAGATTGTTGTTTCTAGCTCTCCTTTGCAAATAGAAAATTGGCTTTCCTCCAGCTGTATCTGGAACATCGTGCTTTTTTTTTTCCCCCCTGCATTAATTTAATTTTTAAAACATCATCCACAGGGTTCTGGCACACTGCTCATAGACATCATGTTCTTTTTATTTCTTTTTCTGTTATTTGCTTAATTGAGAAACCTGGAGAAAGTAATAAGGATATTGCTTGAAAGTAGCATCTTGGCAACCTTAAAGATAGGCAGCTGCTCTGACACCATGTCCCCGAGAGAAGCAAGAGCAGTTAATGTAGTTGCATTTACGTAGGTACAGCTTGACTAGATCTGCACCACCTCTCTGTTGCCTGCAGAAGTTTTGGGCACACAGACAGGTGCCCTCTAACCTGACAGAAATTTCTAAGGTGTTCTGAGATGTGGAAGAAGATGCCAATGTCAGACTGCAGGTGCCTGCAGCTTTGGCAAGTGTGGTCATTAAAGGTGTGAGTTAGAGAAACATCTCAACCACTACCTCTAGGGACCAACCTGGGTTAAGATACAACATCTAGGAGACTAGACTTTGATGCTTTTCCCTTGGATACTGCCATAACATGTGTTGGAGATATACAGGGTCTTAAATCACCAAGAAAAAGAAAAATTCACCCTGGTAAATATATATGCATACTTTTGTAAAGTGTAAATTTGATTAAATCAATAAGATTTATTCACAGCTTATCGTTCAGCTATACAGTAGAAGCTGAAAATCCACAGATTAGATTAGTCCRGTTAATGGACTTCCCTCTGGAAGAGGGAAGACGGTACAGCAAAGTCCCACTCAGAACGGTGAATCCCCCCCCTTAACAGATACCAGTTGCTGGAAACTTCTTACTTTAATTCTCACTTAACACAAGAAGAGGATTGTATGTCAGATGCAGGTTAATTAAACAGAGCATATAAGCCAGGCTAGCCTGATGTTGATGGTCCTACACAATCACAGGTGCTAAAGAGGGAGGCTTGGGCTCAGATTTAACCTTCAGATTCCTTGTTTAGGCTCATAATTTGACTAATGGAAAATAAAAATAAATAGGGAAACTTCCCCATTAGAAAGTTAGGCATCTAATTAGAATTTAGGACCTAAAACATTTCCTGAAAGCCAGCTTGATAGATTCRACCAGAAAAAAATATGGCATTTGTTACTTTCTCAAACAGCTATTTTGCAGTGGAGGGAACAAACTGGGAAAGTGAATCTGACCCAGCAAATCACAGAGGTTGTTCTCTGTTTACACCTCATGCTTTCGACCTTCATGGCTTGTATCCCATTAATGCTGCTCACATGTCTTGTGAAGGGCAAAAACAATATTCTGCACATGCTGGAGACTGATAAATTTCTTGTTGTTGGAAGAATTAGGAACCATAATGACAGCTTCATGGACTTCAGAGAGGTCTGAGCAGGGCAAAAAAAAAAGCTCAGGGCAACGGAGTAGGAAAATCGGAAACAGGAAAGTAAGTGGTTTGGACACAGCAGACCTGGCAGAGTAAAAGTGACATGGCGAGAGGCAAGTGGAAAAAGGTAAAAATACACATGCATGAAGAGAAATGGGATGTGGAAGAGGTGATGGGACTGGAAATGTGTTCTAAGGAAATAATTCAATTCAACATAAACAAAAAGGATGGGAAAGTAGAGCAGAGACACATTCAGTAGAGTATATGGAAAGCATAAGAAATGGGATGGAGAAATTATCTTTATTCATTTTGGCTTCTACCGACAAAGTAAAATTGCATGAGCCTAGTGAACTCAGTAAATTGCACTCTGTTCTGAATTACAAGCTTTATCGTGACTCTTGTTCTGTAGTGTGACTTCTGTTCTGGGCTAAACTAGCATGTTGTTGAAAGATTGGAGCTGAGAGGCCATGGTAAACCATGAAAAGTCACAGTTCTGATGTTCCTGCATATYCATCGTTCGCTACCCACAAATGATTTCTAGAAAATGCTTCTCTGAGGAATTGGCTAGGAATTCCCATTCAGTGTTATACAGTAACATGCGAAGGAGGATATTTCTTATGGGACAAAAGGGTAGGCCACGTAGCAACAAATACAGTAAGTTCAGAGTGGAGGAAGAAAGTACTTGCCAGGCCCCCAACTCCCAAAATTGAGTGAACACTGACAAGATAAAGTTTATGTGAACAATGTTATTTTGTAAAGGTCTGTAACTCCTTGTTGTTTTCTTAAGAATAAAAAGTATTATGGCTAAAAAAAAAAATCCAATGAAATACTTGACTTAAATAGTTTTCAGTTTGATTCTTCAGTTTGATTTTCCTGAATGTAGAACTATATATCCGTTATATTTTTTTTCCTCTCTGCATAATTACCTTATCCTTCCTGATTCAGTTATTTATTTATATTGCTGAAAAACTTTCTCTATGTTTGGAAGGTTCTTTTGCAGGTTGACATGTCACATTATTTCTGCAAACATGTAAGCACTTTTCTTGGCAAGTCTGTCTCCTTCTTATTATTCACCATTCACATAACATGGCGGCTCTGGCCGAGCATCTAGGTAATTACAGAAGAAAGTTTGCTWCTTTACCTGGGATACAAGTTCCAAAACTGCTGTGCATCTCTCACAGCAATTCTGGGTTTCTTCCACATTCAGGATTTTGACCTCTATAGACTAAGCTGATGAGTTCTTCTAAATCCTTGATGTTTTCGCTTTTGAAAAAAACCCTTCATGTACAGACCTGCTTTTGCTTAGGTTCTTGCTTAATTTATATGGAAATGAACTATGATCATACAGTCCAAATTTATTTTTGATGAGCAGCTGCTCTGAGACTTAATTGCTATTTACAACTAAGTAATCTTTTGTTGTTTCAATGACTATTTTGTGCAGGAATTTATTATCTGTTATAATGAAAAACATAGGTCCAAGCCCAATTATGATGATCGGAGTTTACTCTCCAGTTCATACATGTGAAGCTAGTTTCTCACTGTAGCATAATTCCTTGTGGGATTTGTTAGAGCWTTCCTTCTATGTCCAATGACAATCTTGAGTCATTCGCAGCTGACTTCAACCTGAGATACCCTATAGTATATAGTCATCTGTACTCCCTGACCTCCTCCACCTCCCTCACCTGAACTAGATAGTCCTTTAGCTGTTGCTATTGGCCTGATGCTTCGCAACCAGTAATTTCTCTCTCCTTGCTGTCTAGTCTTCCCCACTTCATTTACTACTGGGTGCTTATTTTAATGTCTTTCAGCTCCCTGCGTACAAAACCAGAAACACCTACGACACAGCTCTTTCCCAGTAGTTGCAGCAGCAGCATTAAATGGACATCTTGGACTGCATACCTAGACAGAAAAATTGCATTTACAAGCTAGCTTAGTGTGCTGCAAAGGTTTTTACCAGGGCCTTTAGGCTGGCTGATCCATCTGGCAAAGGACTGCAGCTCTAGAGAACAACAGGAAGACTCAACTCTGCCAAACATCTAGAAGGATTTGATTATAAAGAATAGTCGAGCAGTTTATTGCTTCTGAAAGACCAATGCTAAGATTATGACTGTTTGAACCTCTCTGAAAGCAGTAAGCCACAATTCATTCAGCACTGGCTACAGACTTCCTCCAACTTCTGCATAAAAAAACGGCCTGATCGGCTCCTGTAGGCGCAAAGTGTCGTTCTGGCCCCTTGAGAGCAGCTGGAGAAATAAATTAGGGAACGGAGCCTTGTCTCGGCAGGGAGAGCAGCTGCCTTTGCGCGCGTGCGCGAGCCGCAGAGCAGCCACGCTCTGCCTCGAGCAGCACCGGCAGCCCCGGAGCGCCGCCCCGGCTCACGGGGCAGCCCTTCGTGATGGGCTCTTCCCGCAGCCTGTCGCAGCTCTACCCGAGCAGGCAGCCTGCTCCCAGAGCCAGACACGGAGCGCACATAAAAATAGCAGGGATCCTAAAGGCAATTCCAGTGGAGCCTTGAGGAGCAGGAAGAATTAATTGGACTCGGGCTCTATTCCAAGTAGGAATAAAGCTCTACATGTAGATGGCATTGGGATGCAAGGAGTAAACCTGCCTCAAGACTTGCTTGGACGTGTACATGAGTACAGCAGCCCACGGCAAGGGTAAGCTGTGTCACTGCCAGGGCTAGCAAGACCATGAAGAGAAGAACAGACCAGCAGAGGAAGAAAAGCAGCCATTTTCTCCTACTGTATCTCAAGGAGGCAGGAAAAAAAAAGTCTTTAAAATACCATCAGAGCTATCTTATGCCTGTGCAGCAGCTTGCTTTCTCTCCATGATATCTTTTTTGCTCTAAGCGCAGGCTCTCCTGGTTTCTGGCTCTGGCATGGCAAGCTGCCAGGCTCTCAGTGCTGTGTCATAGTGCCTCAGAGCAAACCACCTCTCAAGTGTTTCCTTTTAAGGATCAACAAAGCCAAAGCAACCAACCAACCAACTTCTACCCCAAAGTCTCTCAGGAAGGGTAAGTCTTCTAAAAGCCACATGTGCAGAGAGGTTATTGGCTTCATGCGGGGCTTGGTGTGCACAGAAGGGAAGAGACAGCACGTMACAGGGCACCAGGAAGAGGCTGCCTTAACACAGACTCAGACAGTGAAAAAATAAAATACATGCAGGTCTGCGAATGCCCCTTGATCCCAGTCAAAAGCCCCACTTTTCTGCTTCCTCAAGACCTGACCATTAAGCCCTCAGACTCAGATATTTGGCAAAAAAGGAGTTAATGTGTCTCTGCTGTCACGTTGTGAGAGTGAAAGTGAAATCAAAAGAGGTCTGAGACTGGCTTTATTCCTGTAAAGTCTTCTGGGCTTGGAGGCCTTTTGGAAACCCCTCTCCCCAGGGCAGCATGATTCAGGAGCTCCTCTTCCTCTGTGGCCTGCTGGGTCTGGAGGCAGGTGAGTTAAAGTGTGCGGCAGTGGGACCTACTGGGCAGACGGAGCGTGYGGGCAGATGGAGCGCACATGGACAGCAGTGGGAGCAGGCTGACCTCAGCTTACACTCCCTTATCCCCACCCCTTCAACTGAGGCCTCCAACTAAAAGCTCGTGAATAGCTGCTTCCCACAGAGTACAATGCTAGAGAAATGGCGGGGCTGCTTTGGCCGCGGTAGAAAGAGGAACCCTAAAGTAGCGACTAGCCCATGGCTTCCTGTTTGTTTTTCCCTACTGTCCCTCCTAGCGAAAGGGTAAAAGCATGCAGCGGGATTTGTGAGTGTAAAGGCCTTGAAACTGCTTCATTCCCTTCCTTAAAGGGCCAGCAAAAGATCCCACAGCAGCACCTYCATTGCGAACGGTGGATATAGTCCTGGACTGCACCTACGTGGGGGAAGGTCGGAAGGGTGCCCCTGGTCTAGGTGCCTTTGGTGGCTCATTCTCCAAGGACCCTGCTACCCTTGTGCTGAGGGACATCATTGTCAGAGATGATGGGAGCCTGGGGGATGCGATTGATTACAAAGCGCCGCACAAAAAAGCTGCTTCCTCTTCTCGCATTGTTTTTGAAGTCTCAGGTGAGCTGGATAGCTGAGGTAAGAGAGATGCCTCATGGGTTTTGACCATTTACAGGCTTTCCCTTTAACTGAGTTCAGAAAATTGAGTTTTGAGTGGCAGAAAAATTTTACAGTTCTTGAACTAGATAATCCTTAAGGAATTCTTGGAAGACATAAGAAAACTTGTGTTGAGATACCTCCCTCCTCCTGTTGGGGTGATTTGGGATTGCCTATCTCCTGGGAATASTTCATAAGAGATGTCCCAAGAATGATGCCACTTACAGTACTATTGCASCCTTAGAAAGCATTCCCATCCTTTTGTCTGAAGAAAGAGAGGATGCTTTTTGCTAGCAGAAGCATAGCAATAAGTGAGTACAAGCAATGAATAAATAAAGTTTCCAAGCCTTTGATAAGCCTAGCTCATTACAATGGAGTGCTCTGACTGACACTTGCGGCACATGGTGCCTCTCCAAGTATGTCTCATCAGCTTGCATTTGCTTTCCTCATTTTGGTCAGATGGTTACATCTCTCCCTCTGTGTTCACAGCCCCACTGGTATCCGTCCCACATGCAGAGTCCCTGCTGCATGCCGACTGCAATGGGGAGGAGGTGAACTGTGAGATCTCCCCATACAACTCCCAGCAGCATGGCAAGGGGCCCTGCTGGTTCATGGGGTCTCTGCAACTGGCCAGCGGCATCAGTATTGTCCTGGTGCTCAGAGGCCCCCACTGCAGCGGCGAGGAGGCGGAGGACCCAGATGCAAAGTTGCACCCAAAGCTGAAGATCCCTTTGAGCGAGAAGGGGACAGTGCTGGCCACAGGTGACCAAATGCCTCTGATGGACACAAGGGGAAGAAAGTCTGCCTCCTCCAAGAGCCCTATTCCCTGCCCTCTCACCAGGGCTCTAGAGTTGCTGGGAGGTTTCACATAGGGAAGGGCGGGCTCTGTTGTACATGTTCCTCTGTGAAGGCACTTTCTCAGGGACAATCTTGCCCCCATCATGCYTGCTTCCAGGGGTTCACATACTTTGGGCATCCCCTGAGGGCAGAAAGCACTTTGTCCTTCAAGACCATGCCATGTACTTGCTCTCCAGATGTTTYTCTGCCCTGTTAACCCCACTAGGATAGCTTCCTATCACTCTTCAGGCTATRTGGCCTTGGGGCACACCTCCTCTGGGTATGGAGTTCACTGTGAGGTAGTACTCTCTCTAAAACCATATCTGTTTTACAACCTGTTTGCCTATATCTTTCTTTCTAGTTGAATTTCAGTCATCGTCACGCAACACTTCCCTGCAGACCCACCTTGGCAGCATAGTCACCCTTGACTGCCACTTTGCCTTGCCTCCCAGCTCCCCACTCTCCTTCCTGGAGTGGAGGAGGCAGCACCAAGGCAGCGGGCGAAGACTGTTTCAGTACCAGGCAGGAAGAAAAGGTGAAAGAGTGCATCCAAAAGTCCACGTGGATTTGCCACAGTTGCTGAGGAGTGGAGATGCATCCCTTAATCTGCAAGGAGTGAGCGTGGGAGACGAGGGCACATACATCTGTTTGGTGTCCACCCCACAGCACCAGATCCAGCACCTCATCCAGCTGCAGGTGGCCGGTGAGGAAGGCAGCCTGGGGGCAGCAGGAGTCCAGGTCCCCAAGGGGCTGACATTATACTGCACCCTTATCCTACTGCCTCCAACATCCATTGGGGCAGCACATCTTTCCTCCCTGTGGAAAGAGACTTTTATACCCTGCCAATAGTTTCTGACTAAATTAATTTCCTGTTTATCTCCTATCAGAGCCCCCACGAGTCCGTGTGATTCCAGTACAAGTGTCATTCGAGAGAGATGTGACTGCTACTCTGACTTGCAGTATCGATGGCTATTACCCTCTGGATGTCTCTGTGAGCTGGATCCAGAAGTCTGCTGAAGATGAAGCAGAAATCACTCTTTCAAGCACACGTTTCTCTAGCCACCTGCAAAACCATGACGGCACCTACAGTATCTCTTCCTACCTGAGCATCAGCTCAGCCACAGTGCAGGCACCAGCCACCTACAGCTGCCGTGTTTCACATGTGGCCCTGGAGGAACCCATCTCTGTTAGTGCCTACCTGAAGGCCACAGGTAAGCCCTCACCTCCTGCTACCTCATCTAACCACAGCAGGGATCAAGACCTCTGGACCTCCTCAAGGACATAGGCACCCAGCTGAACTTGATGTTCAACTGGAGGCTGCATTTGCTTTGGAACTATAGTCCCAGCAGCATTTAAAAAAAAAAAAAAAAAAAAAAAAAAAAAAAAAAAAAAAAAAAGTCTCCCTGGGGCCTGATATGCTGTTGCAGTCCTCAGTCTCTTTACTAATGGAAAATTGTGCTTACATCTCCTCCTGACTCAGCAGGAACAAGCAATCAAGTTAACTGCAGTTAAATGTTACAACACGTCAGTCTAGCCAGTATAACTGGCCCTGTGTCTGAATGGCCATAGCTCAAATTTCATGTCCCATGTGCACGGTCAGTTCCAGCAGGAGCTGGTTTAACTGTGACAATTTGCTTGCTATCCACTTGCTCAGTCAAGCATAACATCAACAACCTTCCTCTTCCTCAACAGAAAAAACAAGGTCAGAAGGACTGGTGGGAGGCCTCATTGCTACTGTCATTTTCATCATTGTCCTATTCATGGCACTCAGGAGGAAAAAGACAGGTAGGAATCTGTAACATGGAGCCACTTCTCTAGTCTGAGAGAAGGAACAAGGGACATGTTGGAATCATGGAATCATTATGGTTGGGAAAGTCCTTCACATCATTGAGTCCAACTGTAAGCCCTTCAACACCATGCCTGCTAAACSATGTCCCTGCGTGCCCCATCTACATGTTCCTCAAATGCTGCCAGGGACGGTGACTCCACCACTTCCTTGGGCAGCCTGTTCCAATGCTTCACCATTCTTTCCATGTAGAAATCTTTCCTAGTATCTAACCTGAACCTCCCCAGTCGCAACTTCAGGACATTTCCTCTTGTCCTATTTTCAGTACTATGCCCTAGAGGGAAACATGGGAAGTGCATAGGCTGGAAACCCTCTCACAAATGACTGTCATTCATCACAGGATGTGGTGACCTGAATTATCAGCTCAGCATGGTTGACAGGGTTGGTAGAGGAGACGGGATCGGGGGGAGCGGAGCGGGTCTGGCTCCCTTCTTCCTCTCCTCCCTTCATCCCCATCAGTGTGCTCTCCCTATTTACCTTTGCTGTCTGAAACACTTGGCAAATGCCATAAGCCACTTCAGCTCATCACAAATGGCAAAAAATAAAGCCATCAAAAATCTAGTAAGTTCTGTGGTGTTTCAGAGAGTTAAATTGGCTCAGGGAATATGCCAATGACTACAAGGCCTGGAATGAGAGCAGAGGAGGACAAGGAGAAATTGATCTCTGCCTCTGCCTCCTGACAGCTACAAAACAGTGAACAGGCTCAGCTGAGGAGTGGGGTGTCTCAGGGGGCTAGTTTGTCTCTGCTTTTATTCTGCTTTTATAGGAAGCAGCTGGAAAGGCAATAGATGGAATATATCCCATAGCTAGTAGTCCTTATCTCCTTAGAGAGCTTCTTTACAAAGCTGCACTGCTTTTCCCCATTCATTTCTGGTAAAAGGCGGGGTGGTATTTTGCACTACTACCTAAATTTTACTCTTTTTTCTTTCTTTCTTTTTTTTCTTTCCAGTTAACCCAAAGTCTGAGTAACTTCTAAGGGCTTCAGAGTAGAGGAAGTTTTTGCTTACATTTATTTGTTTCCCTTCTGATAAATTCTGCTCTGCTCAAAGATTAGCAGAGCTATTGGTCAGTATGGGCAGGGCTGCTCTTCGTGGAAGAACTGAGTGACCCAGAGGACATGGAGTCACAGAAAAACATGTCTTCATCATGGGAGAGCAACAGATAACCCCAGCTGATTCCTGGGATGTAACATTGGATGTAATGTGTATATGTTTCTAGAAATGCCTCTACTCTTGTTTCAAGGAAAGGTAAATTGTATATAGTTGAGCAATTGTATGATGATACATGATTACATAAACATTTTGTAAATAGGCGTTCAGAATATATATGTGCAAATTGTATGTAGATGTGCGACTGTAGCTGTGTATATGTTTGATTAATGCCTCAAAGACATGTTTTTAAGGAAGATATTGTGTGTATGTATTTGTCTCAATTGTCTGTAGGAATGGGTAAATATGTATGCAGAATTGATACTTCAAAATGGTAAATCCTTGAAGTTAGGAAATTACAGGTTAAACTGGAAGTAAAGCAATCAAAAAATAYGATGAAAATACTGTAACCAAAAGTTACAACAAAATTCCACAACAGAAGTTTCACTAATAGAAGTTTATGAGAAGACCTGTGGTTCTACAGCTCTGAAATAGGCAGAAGATAATCATTATCTGCCTAACAAAATGTGAAGGTATTTGAGGATAGTACTTAAAAATATTACATAAAAACAAAAGAGAAGAAGAAAAGTAGAAGTAAGGTATAGATGGAAAGAAGCTATATGGCACACAACATAAATGAGAAGTAATGAAGCATTCAAGTTGATAAGGAGTATTCAAAATATCTGGAAAATGTGGATTGCTGTAAGCACTAAGGGCACTTGGAAATTTTTCAAAATATGTTGGGAACCAAGGAATTCCAGCAATAGCCTAGACCCTTATCAGATGGCTGTAGGTAAAACTGTGATAGAGAAAATTTCTGATGGAGATTTTTTGTATACATAAAGAAGAAGAATTTTGTATTCATATTATGTGAGGATGATGAACAGTTTTCTAATCTACTTAGAAACTAAGGAGGGTTTCTAACAGTAGCTGCTAAGCTAAAGTATTTTCAGATCAATAGGCAAAGATGATTAGTGCCTCAGCATCATAAAACTTTGGGCTGAGGAGTTGTTATGTCTATTATAATAAGATCATTATGAACCCTGGAATATGAGAGGAATCCCAAGATAGTGAAATAGTGTTAAAGCTGTGTTAGTGTTCACAGAGAGTAAGCAAAATGACAGAGACGACTTAGATGGTTCCATAATAATAGTCATAGGCAAGAGAGTGTGAAGCTAATGCAAGGCAGCTACAAAGACTTCAAAAGGAAAATGAAATTAATAATTTAATATGGTGGTTTAATATGTGGTTTTACTTTTTAAAAGGTGTGACAAAGATGCCTAATGTATTCTTTTACAAAATAATTCATTTGRTGATAAAAATACTGGCTGCAGATTTAAAAACCAAGACATTTGCAAATAAGCATGATGTTCTAAAGGAAAAAATGTCTGCACATRCAAACATCATGATTTGTGTTATATAGATTAATTACTTGCTAACTCAAAAAAATTCAAAAATAATTGTCCAAAAAGAAATATCAGTCGCTTCCGAAGGTGAATGCTTCTCTGACAGGGAGCCCAGTGTCATTGAATTCCTGATTTTGTTCCCATCAGGAAACATAACTATAAAAGTAACTTTTGACACAATTTCCAAATGGCAAGAAGATCAGTAGCTAGGGCTGAGAGACTTGTTCAGATCACTGTAGGCCAAATGTTTAGTTAAGCATATTCAAACAAAGTAAGAATGCTCAGTAATGTCCATGGAATCTCCCAGGGTGCTACTCTTACCATGCTTGCTCAACAGCATTGACCCATAAAATATTATTAATCATCTGACCTGAAAATATATATAYAGCAGTAACTACTGGTAGATTGTAAGTGCTGGCAGAAGCAGTTTTTTGCTTGTATCATTTTCTCTTCATTTTTGGTGTCCTATCAATAAATTAATATTTTTAGTGTTGAATAGTTATTTTCTGTTTGTGCATTTCCCATGCAACTCTGTGGAGACAAGCCTTATGCAAGGCTCTGTGGGTGATGAAGAAGCAGGCTTAATGTTGTGAAGAAAGGAAAATAGGACCCTCACCCTAGAGAAATGTAGCCTAAGACCTGGCACTCAGAAAAGAGAGCTCACAAAGGGTCTAGATGTTGAGAGGAAGATTAAGCTCCAGCTCTTGAACTGAATACTCTTCCCCTTGCTCCAGAGCTTGCTGCCCTGGAGCAGGAATCAATGAGGCTACTCATGGACTCGTGGAAGGAACATGTTTAAAACTTGGAGGTGGTCCAAAGCTAAATGACAGGACCAATTAGGAGTCGAGGAGAACACGTTATGGAAAGTTGGAGACATTACTCCAGTTTTACTAATCTAGCACCTCTTAATTACATCACAGAAGATACAAAGTACTAATGGCATCATAGCCTGTAAAGAACTCCTAGCAAGAATTAAAATCTGCAGCTTAAATTTATGCATGTTCAAAATAAAGTAAGTTGTAATATACTTACTTAACAAGTTGTAATATACTTAACAATACTTAACAATATACTTAGCAAGGATAAATCACAGAATGGTTGAATTTGGAAGGAACCTCTAGAGATCATCTAGCCCAAGGATGCCTGCTCAAGGAGGGACACCTAATGCTCTAGCTTCCCCTCACTGAAAACAGTAGACTAGCTTTCAAGGTCTTCAAATAAAGTCCAGATTACATCTCCCTACAGAAAGGAAAGCTGACCTTTAAGAAGCTTGTTCCCACCTAAATACCACATACTCAGGCTGAGAAGCTTCAAATTCCGCCAGTTATCCTTGTCCTCTAGTGGACTAGAATGGAGAGTTTAATGTATGGGAATAATTCAATGCTAAAATCGCGCTTTCTTAGGTCCCCCAGGTGATGATAGATAGTCATTTAAGTCTAGTGCTTTCCTACCACACATTACTTCCAAACCAGAAATTTAAAGCATCAAGCTCCATCTCAAGAGCTTGGCATTACAGCTCATTGTTGGATCTGTTCAGTCAGGTGGTTCACACACCCAGACAGTGAAATGACTCACACGCAGATAAGGCTGCATCACYTTGAAAGTCCACAAACATCAAATATTTCTTTTGAATTACTGGAGAGCTCATTCCTTAGAGAAAGTCATCTTACAACTATATATGCTGGAACTTTGCCTCTGGGCTTTTCTCTGTGAAGCRGGCAGAGTGCTAGTCAAGGGCAGAGTGCTAATTCAATAGCTATGCATTTCTTAGAAACCGCCAGTCTTTTGCCAGTATTTTGGTAAGGTCAGTTCCTCTGGACTACTCTATCTAGAGCTCAATGACAGGAGAAATGTTAAATTATGTTTTATGTTATATTTAATTGTAATGTTAAATTAAATTAACCAACTTATCGATCCCTTGTAATATTATGTTCTCTCCCCACTCAAAAATAGATATTTTTTTTAAAGTGATTTCTTCTTTATCTGGAGAGAAACTATGACTTTTTCCCAAAGTCTTCAGCTTTTTTTTGCAATCACTTCCAAACTTTGCTCCCAGACAAAACTTATCTGCAGATCTCCCACTCCACTACCCATGCCTCAGCATGAGGTGTCATCTTAGGTCAGTCCAGCTCCTATCACTGCCAAATATAGTTCTCCTAGGTCTGCTCAAAATACTGCTTCTCCAAGCACACAGAAGAGCAGTTTCACATACATTTCCTTCAGTGAGTGATGAGCAGAAGCTGAAAAATGGCAGAGATTCCCCCCCTCCCCAGATAAAATACAAACTAAGAAGCTCAAAAAGCTCCTCTAGAGTGGAGAGGACTGATTTCAGGCTGAGCCCCCACTCCGGGGCCAGCAGTTCCTGGTAAGGTCCCTGGTAGCCCAGGTTGCATGTGGCAGAGCTGTGGTCAAACAGGGGTGACATCCACAGAGCCGGACATAGCAGAGCAGAGCAGAACTGCATCACCTCAGGCTCTCCTTCTCTCCAGCAGCAGAGAGCAGAGGAATCAGGCCCTGCCCTACCCATGTCCCCAGTGGAATGCAGTGGTTGCAACATGAGGASCGACTCTTACGCTCTGTCCCTAAAGCTCCTGAAAGAGAAGAGAAAAGAGAGGACCACCAGCAGCAACACTGCTGCTGCTGACACTCATTCCTCTGTGATTGAAGCTGTCACCTTCGTCAGCAGCTCTACCAAAATGCTTGGACCACAATGCTCTCCATGTCTTACAGCAAGAACCAGCAACTCTGCAGGCCACAGCTGGCTCCAGTTGCATCAGGCAAAATTAATCCAGGTATGCATCCCCTTCCTTAAGGAGTGGGATCACAGCACACACTTCCCTTATACTGGCAGATGTATCAGTTCTTTCCCAKAAAGTTGTCTGTTCTCCCTTTGAACCCATTCAAACCCTTTAAAAATCACCATTATATTCACTATCTTTCCTTCTTCAGGTTCCAAGGTGGCTTTAAGCATGGGTTACACACTACTGTGAGTAATACAGATATTTAATTCTTGAGTTCTTTTAAAATCCCTGGACAGAAGCCATTGCTCCTAGCAACTTGTTAATGTTCATTTTGTCAGTGTTCTGAATAGACTTTCCCACAGTCTTCAGACATTTCAGACATGTTCAGTGATGAACCCCACAAGAATGGGTTCTGCCAAAATAATATCTGCCTTCTGCTGTGCTTAACACAGAAGCAAGGATTTCTGCAATCCTCTTATCTTTACTATATGCTCCTTCTATAGCTTGATCATCAATTTGCCCCATTGACAATAGCAGATTCCTGATATTTTTGAAGAAATATACACTATTACTTTTGATTCTTCTTGCTGGCTGTTCCTTGAAGTCTTACCTCTTGTGACATATTATCAATCTACATGCAACTTACTAACATTTACATTCTTCTCCAATTTTTCTGTTTGTAAACAACTTTAGCTTTTCTTGAAATATCATTTTAGGGGCTTCCCTCACCATACTGAACAATGTTTTCAGTATCACACATGAAAGATATTCATCCTATTCTTCTTAATTGTGCCCACTTAGTAAGGATGAAGCAAGTGATAAGGAGCAGATTCAGACAACACAGATGAAAATAGAAAAGGTTCTGCATTTTTGGTCAGACAAAAGAAAACAGTTGTGATACATGTTGGTAAAGACCATGGATGCTGGGCAGGTCAAGATGATCAGGTCTGCTAAAGCAGAATGAGAGGAAGAGAAGGAGCAGATGGGAAAGAACCAGAGGCGTAGGGCAGGATGCTAACAGTGGTGAAGACATCAGTTGGGGAAACAGTGAGAAGTAAGGAGGCAATACCAACATTGGCRCAGCATAAACGGTTGGTAGAGTGGTGCAGAATTACAACAGGAGGTGGCAGAAAGGGATAGGGATTAGAGTGAGGAGCAGTGGAATGAGACTGTATGGGACATTGACAAGTGTTCAGTCAAAGCAATGACTGTCAGTGAAGCAAAGGAGCAATGATGAAGAACAGCTGAAGAAGCTGTCAAGGAGAGATCCAAATAGGACAGAACAACAACAGTAAGGGGAAAAAAATGCATGGGAAAATGACTGTTAGGGAAGGAAAGGCAAAATGTCACTGCTGTAAGAATTTGTGGACTAACTTCAGTCTGTTTGCCTCCTGTTCTCCAAATTTCCTGTCCTGACTCATCTTCTAGGAGTTATACAACTTTTCAGTATGCCTTGCAGAGCCACTAGACAAGGCAGGCTTTTTCACCACAAGGTGCAGTTCAGGGGAAGGATGGAACTATTTTCTTTGTGTTCTTTTAAATTCATTTATTTTTTTTTTCCATTCAGCTTCCTCTCCTCCCCCTATTTTCAATGTTATTTTTCCCCCTTTCTCAAACATTTCGAAGTCATATGCTTGATCAGTATTGATTTCTTCACGTATTGCTTTTTTTTCTCATCTTGTTTTGTACTTCTACACATATCCACATTCTTCTCCCTCCCACAAAATGTCAACATCCTGATAAGTCCTTAGCATGAATGATCAATTACCTCCCCTAATAAATATGTAGAGCACCACATCAGGCTTTGTGCTGCAAAAACTTTGAGTTTCTTTACTGACAGGGGATTTGTAAGGAAAGAAAAAGAAAAAAAAAATCCCTCCCCTCCTCAGGAGTCCTGCTTGAGGGAAATTCCTTCTTGATCCCAAATTTGCCAAGGAGTGTAAACTTTGTGATAAGAGAAACACATCTGCTTAACAAATATGGTTGCTGTCTTGACATTGAATTACAAAAAGAGGTAGCAGAACAGAACAATGACTACAGTGAAGAAATCTCACCCTTTTCAATATCACGATAAGTGGTTACAGGGCTTGATTAAGATCCATCTCTAATTGGCCAACCTTTTCTGATTTAAAGAAGAATGAAAAGCAAAAAATAAAATGAAGGTATGAATCCAGATTTTTTTTTCCCCAGGCCCTACAAATGATRAGCTTTGGAATAATCCATTATAATCAGCAATAAAAAGCCACAGATATTTTAACATCTAATCCTTAACTTTATCAAGCTACATCTTGAAACAGATCCATCACCCATTCCGGAGCCTCCTTTCTGCTAGATTAAGATATTTTGATAATTCATATTGCCTGGGAAGGCTTAGATCCTGTYAAGCACAGAAATCAATTGAACTCAGCTGAATTATTATAAAGGAGATGGGAAAGGGTGACAATGTCTTTTGCTCTGCCTTTTGTGAAGGCGCAATGGCAGGAGTTCCTTCAAGACATCTGGTTAGGACTTCTGATATTCAAGGCAAAGAAAATAAAAGATTTATAGATAAACTGACCTTTTTGTAGTCTTAATTTACTCAGGGTTCCATTTTGGAGAATATAATTGCCAGCCTGTTTTCCAGAGGAGAGGATCATCATCGCAGCAGAGCCAAGAAAC